TGGAGGGGACAAGGGTACAAGAATACAAGCTTGTAGAGGCCAAATGGAAGGGCTGGCCCCTGACTGCAACTGGGAGTGCTCATTCATGTTAAGAGGGAAGGCAAGGACTTTGGCCCGTGTGCTGGTCTGTGGATGGGTTTGATGTGAGCATATGGATGATTTTCTTTTCTCGCTGATGTTCTGAGCAGGGAAAAAGAATTTACCAGAGAATATCCTCAGGTAGTAGAGCTGCCTGAGTGCCCTTCTGTAGTTTGTCATCATGAATTTAAAGTAAGATAAGTCATTATATTTGGGTATTTTTCCTCCAGGAAATTTCAGACGCTACCTTCACCTTGATGACCCCTCCAATCCCTATCCTGCTTTAGCCTGGTTTTATCAGTCCTGTTCCATGCCAGTTCTGTGGGAAGCTGTGCTGATCTTCCAAATCTGGATCTAGTGCTCTCTTGTTGTCTCTTACCCCTGTTATAACCCTCCCGTAATTATCCACTGACTCCTCTCTATCTCCCTCCAGAATATAAACTCCCATTGTGCAGGGATTTTCAGCCATGTTCTGAACTCTAACCCCAACCTCAAATACACAGTGGGTACTAATTGAATAAATATGGTCCATATGGCAAATACCAATCTCCCCAATTTCCACAATAGCATCAAAAATATTTACATTAAATGTTAAGAAAAATTCTTGCCTGTTTATTACCAAAATACTAAGAGTTTCCTTAAAATTTGTAGTTCAGTTTCATCTTTCTGCAGTTCCCAAAGTTACTACATATAATTATGCACATGTTAACTTTATTTTTAAAAAGAGGTTTGCATTTTATTTTTTTAAAGATTTTGCTTTTGGGGCGCCTGGGTGGCTTAGTCGGTTAAGTGTCTGACTTTCGCTTGGGTCATGATCTCGTGGTTCGTGGGTTCGAGCCCCACGTCGGGCTCTGTGCTGACTGCCAGCTCAGAACCTGGAGCCTGTTTCAGATTCTGTATCTCCCTCTCTCTCTGACCCTCCCCTGCTCACGCTGTCTCTCTCTCTCCTAGAAATAAATAAAAAACATTTAAAAAATTAAAAAAAATAAAATAAAATAAAGATTTTGCTTTTAAGTAATCCATATACCCAACATGGGGCTTGAACTCACAACCCTGAGATCAAGAGTTGCATGCTCTACTGACTGAGTCAGCCAGGTGCCCCTAAAAAGAGGTTTGCATTTTAGCTGACTTCCTTTTAACTCTGCTCTCTAAAAAAAATGGAGAATAAGGGAAAAAATTTATGATAGCAAAGAGTAGAGAAGAAAAACAAGCAACAAACTTGTAAGTATTTTAAGTGCAGTGTAAGAAACCTGAACATCTTATCTCAACATTTTATCTCTTGGTTTTCTTTTTCAGATTAGAAACCAATAAGTTTGAGGAAAAATATGTTCCCATATTTCTCACAAACCTTTGAACAGGAAGGGGAAATGTATTTTTAGTGGCATCTCAGACTGGTTAGGAATATTTTGAGAGGATATAACTTAGATTTAAAGTTAGTTTTACTATGAAGAATAGGTTTGACACAATCAGAGACATGGACCTCAGTGGTATTCTCTTCTCCATTGCTAGGTAATAGACATGTTTTTTTCTCCGATTGATCATAAGTCATTAAAATGACTTACCCAATCACTAGGCCCTGCAACATTTTACAAAGTTGCCAGAACACATTTACTCTGTCATGTAATAATCTTCATAATGCGCAACAACATTGAGATGCATCTTATGTCCTATATAAGTAAAACGTACAATGAGTAATATGAAGCTTGGGGTGATAAAGTAAAACTTTTATAATTTCATAGAGCTGGTAAAAGACAGGGTCTGAATTTAATTCAGATCAGTTGGTTGGGTGCTAAGTGTGACAAACAGGAGAAGCCCCTTATGATGTCTAAAGTTCCTTCTAGTTCTAGTATTTTATAATTTCTAAAGAAACAAAAAAATTTTCCCTGCACCTCTGTTCTCACCTTAAGTGATTAATTCTATTATTAGTTGGGAGACAAATCAGAATTTTCTCAGCATCTCTCCTGTTCTCCAGATGTGCTCATTGGACACAAGCTTACACACAGGAACTCAAAAGAACAACCTTTCCTTTGAGTAGTAAGAAATGCAGTTTCCATGTATTTTACTACCTGAATCTTTGCTTTAGAGAGGAGGATGATTGGGACACTTGCGTGGCTCCATCAGTTGAGCATCTAACTTCAGATCAGATCATGCTTTCATGGTTTGTGAGTTGGAGCCTCGCATCGGGCTCTGTGCTGAAAGCTCAGAGCTTGGAACCGACTTTGGATTCTGTCTCCCTCTATCTCTGCCCTCCCCCACTCACACTTTGTCTCTCTCAAATAAATAAATAAACATCAAAAAAATTTTTTTTTAGACAGGAGGATTAAAAACAAAAACCCAGGACAAATAAATGTGTTAGAGATGCTTATGAAATGGGTATTATATGAGTGTATTTGTACATAAAACCTAAATACGCACTATTTTGCATTAGTTCAGGTTTTTAAGTTTCTAGTTACTAGGTCATGTACTTGTTGGAAAAGTAAAATTTATTTCAGCTCTGCATAATGCTGAATTTTCAGCTCTGCATAATGCTGAATTCACTCTTGCCATTTATTTAATAGTTATAATATGACCTCTATGTTTAACTCTGTAATCAGCAATGCACATCACCAGTCAGGTGAACATTTGACGCACTATCCGGCACATGTTACTTAATCATGGAAAGCATATGTAATAGCAAACACTGTGTTACTCAACAAGATTTTGTTGTAGGAATGAACTGATCTCACAGATGAAGAAAAGAGTCTCAGAAAGGTCAGTGACCTGTCCAAGTTTGAACTGCTAGTAAGGGGCAGAGTCAGCACCTAGAACATACTCTGAGAGTTTATGAATATAAAAATACTGTGTTAGGGATGATGTGTTATTGCTTATCATAAAGACAATCGAAGGGGGTGCCTGCGTGGCTCAGTTGGTTAAGCATCAGCATCTGACTCCAAGTCAGGTGAGATGGTTAGGCATAAGCACCTGACTTCGACTCAGGTCATGATCTCACGTTCTTGAGTTCGAGCTCCACATCTGGCTTGCTGCTGTCAGCATGGAGCCCACTGTCCCCTTCTCTCTGCCCCTTCCCCGCTTGCACACACTTTCTCTCAAAAATAAACATTTGTTTTTTAAATATTTTTTAGTTAAAAATGTTTTTTTTAATGTTTATTCATTTTTGAGAGAGAGGAGAGAGAGAGAGAGACAGAGAGAGAGAGAGAGAGCGAGCACATGGGGGAGGGGCAGAGAGGGAGACACAGAATGTGAAGCAGGCTCCAGGCTCTGAGCTGTCACAAGCCCTGCTGCAGGGCTTGAACTCACAGACTGCATGATCATGACCTGAGCTGAATTCGGACGCTCCACTGAGTTGGCCACCCAGGCGCCCCCCCCCCTCAAAAATAAACATTAAAAAAAAGACAATTGGAGAATACTAAACAGTCTTTTTATTCTTTCTTCCTTTCCCCCCCTAAATAGTCTTAAAGACTGGTGATTGGGGTAATAAATCTTTGGCTCTAGAACACCAAGTGCATCGTGCACATGAGAATGCAAAGTCTAAGTTGGACAAGAGTGACTAGAGGAAACTGTAAGGAATGCACGTGCAAAGGCCATGGTAGCACAGGGAAAAGAAGGGTGAGCAGAGAGAAGGGCCAGCAGAGGTTCATATGTAACACAGGTAACACAGGGAGGTAAGACGAATGGATGACTCGGCTGGAATGTCCTACCCTTGCCCCAGCAGATCAGTGTTCCCGGGCTCCATCCTTGGAGGCTGACCGACCTTACATCCAAGTGCTCCCTTGCTTTCTAGCTTCTGGTTGGTTCTGTAAATGAGGACCCTTGACAGAAATGGAAGGGACGGAGGTCAGGCCTTGCCCTGGGCACTCTCCCTGTGAGGGCTTCAAAGGTCATGGCTCTTCTCTAGGGCTCCTGCTTTTCACGACGGTCCCTCTCCATGTGACAGTGTCCTTCAGGCCTATACCCATGGGCGTGAATCAACCCTGTGGTCCTCCTAGCCCCACCCACATCCGCGGTATCAGTCCACATTATCTCACTTCAAATGCTGCTGGGACCCTGACTAATACATTCTGCAAGATTCCTCCCAGTGGTCACTCTGCACGTGATGATTTTGTAAACTACTGAACTTGGTTTGTTTGTTCTTCTTTCTTGGCTTCTTCACATGAGATTCAGATGGTGCACTAATTATTAACACAAGAAAGAGCTCTGAGTTCACCCCATTTTCTTAAAATTAAAACTATTGTCCACAATCACAACTAAGAGAGAAGCCAAAAGTAAGTAAAATACGGGCACAGCTTTATTTCTCTACAAGGCAGTAAGTACACTGTCGTATCAAAGTTCAGTGCCGGCCGTCTTGCACCAAATGTTCTTAAGGCAGCAACTGGCTATATCCCCCAGGCTCTTGACCCCAGCTGCACACACAGGCAGTGTGCGGCAGTTCTGAGACCTTACACTTAGAAACCATAGGGACGCTGATCAAACACATAACCCCTGAATTAAAGAACAGTTAGGCTGAACTCAAAACAAAACACAGAACATCAACAACACAATCTCCCAAAAAAGTAAAGAAGTGCAATGCAAGTTCTTATAAACCAACAGGGTAACCAAAAAAAACAAGAACAAAAAAAAAAAAAAAACCCAACAACAATGACATCAACAAATGCAAAATCTCCCAAACCAGTTTTCCAGGGTATTACAAAAGGAAAAAAAAGTCCATATATATATATAAAAAATTAAAAAAGTCTGAATTACTAGTGCATAGTCAATTACCTAACACCAGGTTTCTTTTCTTTCCGTCCAAAGCTCTACTGCCCCTCTCATACTAGCAGCATGGCTACAGGCTAAGACCATAGCAGCAAAACACATTTTTCATTTGGCATTTACAAAATTAAATTACTGAATAAAAATATAATTTTTTATAAAACTATTTCACACAGTAATAATTTTTAAAGCAAGCTAACAAAAAAAAAACCCTCATAAAATGGTTTAGTACAACATATGTACCTCCAATGTTATTAACCATAAATGAGCATTTACAATCTTGATTAATAATCCCATGGTATTAAGTCAACATTTATAGTAATGCATTGTGTTTAGTGATTGAGAAAAGTGAAATATTGGAGTACCTTTTTTGTGTGTAAAAATTTCAAAAACCCCATTACAGGAAAAAATACTGGTCTGTTGGATCCTCTAAAATACAGATAAATCATTTTATGTCTTAAAAAAATCTGCATTAAGATATTAACAACTGACTACAATTCATTACCTAATAATTTAGGTAAGATTGTTATTTATTTATTTATTAAAAAATCCTTTTAGTTGGGTGAAATCCCATAAGATTTCATCCACCTAAATGCACTTGGTGCTGCTCTCAACTGTTGTACCACAACAAAAATAGGTTCTTCTCCCATTCATGAAAAGTTTCATGTGGAGGAATGACATACGCCAAGTCAACTTTTGAAGTGTTCTGAAAACCATAATGCTTGTCTGGAAACGTCTCACATGACCAGAGTCCGGGTGGAGAAGGCATTCACATATTTACGAGCTTGACCAGAAGCCGTCATCTGATCTTCGGTCTTTCCACAAGATGCGGTCTCCCAGGCACCACTACAAGGCTAATGGGGGAAAAGAAGGCAATGGCAAGGTCAGACAGGAAGCCCGTACTTGAGCCCATAAAGGATTCCCGATCCCAGCAGAACCAGCATAGAGAATTCTGACCTCTATCTAGATGGCAAGAGCAGATACAAGGGAGCCTTTGTCAGATAAAATCTTAACTCTCTGCCCCCTCCCTCCAGAACTCCAGCATTTGGAGGTGCTACTGAGGGTCAGAAATCATTCATTGCGAAGAGGGAAAACCCCACTTCAGGCAATACCATAAGCTACAGCTGCACACTTCCCACTTTTGTCTATTGGGTGGTTTTACAAAGTTGGAGGAAGAAATGAGCATAACTCCCCCAGATACCTAATATGTCTCATTAAGCAAACTGGTGAGTACTTCAGTCCTCTGAGCGAAGAAGCTCCAGGAGGTGACAGAATCAATTAAAATCTACTAAACACAGTATCTATTTTGTAGTATCAATTAATTTAGAAATATCTGTTCACTAGGACAGACACACTAGAAGATACAGATAGAACTCGTATCTAATAGGCAGCCAGTGTTTGACACTTCACAGTCATGATCTCATTTACACAGCACCACCCCCCTGAGGGGGAGGTACATTCTGTCTTCAGTCAGGCAGGAAATGGAGACACAGAGAGTGGAGATAACCCATCCAAAGCCTCTCTGAGGGTGAGGACTGGAATGGCTCTGAACCCAGGTTTGTCTTCTGCACAGCCCTGGCTCTTGCCTTCCCTCCATATTGCTTCCCACTGAAATATATACTATTCATGCTCTACTTAGTTCCCCCAAAGGATTCATAATAATTACAATATAAATATAAGATAACAGGGTTTATATAGTGGGTAAGGCAGGGTCACAGGAAATAAATAACATGATGATTTGGGTGAGATTTGGACATAAAACACTTGTCATGAAGTACAGTGCACCAGCTGGGTGTAAGCCACAAGGTTGTCTCTGAGCTATCTAGCAGGCAACGCAGAGGAAAACAGAAACACAAGCAGATGTAAGATTTGGGGTCCTTAAGCTCAAAACTAAACCCGCGGTTTAGTAAAAGTGCAACTATCCATGGAATTGACATCTAAGAACAATTCTTCCATGGGACAGAAGAAGACAGACAATTTCTCTGGGAAAGGATTCCCAGAATCTGTTCAGGAGAGCTGAATACTGAGTACTATCAATTTCACATATTCTCAACTGGAAATTTGACTGTGTTCTTACTGGATCGCCCACAGGGCTCACCACTTTATTTATGTCTGGCTCTTTCTCTAGGGCCAGATATTTAAAACAAGATCAATATTCTTTTAAATCGTACATTTTTAATTAGTCTTTTGGAGGAAGCTTTTCAAACAGATTTTCCCAAGTCAAGAACAGGGTTTTCCAAGAAACAAATGGAGCATCTCAGGGGCACATGAGCCCTGGGGCTCAGAGTCTCAGCAGCGCAAGCCCCTGGGAACCCCTGAACCTCCCAGTGTAGACAAAGGCCAGGACCCAGTAGTCACTGTGTGTGGCTCCTTTTCTGCACTCTGTGAGTACTTCTTGCAACAATGAAGAAAAATCTGGTCAGAGCAGACCCAGACCTACCCGGAGAGAGTTGAGGCAGAGCACAAGGTCAAGGACTCAGGAAAGAAAAGAAGTGTTCAGGTCCAACAGCTGACATGACAGTGGCCTTCTCCTTTGCCATTTCCTTCTCTCTCTTTACCTTGAAGCCATGGGGCCCTTGGCCAACTTTTCAAGCAGACAGAATAGTTTTGACAAAGGGGGATTAAATGTCTTTGTGCTAGAAGAATATTTGTTACTACTGTCATCTTTATCTTTGCGCCTATTTATTCCTTCCTAAATTTTAGTTTCATTTACACTAAAGAATTGATAAGAATTAAGGATTTCTGCACATGAATTCTTATGTGAATGCAGACCTGTCACTCTACCCTAATTCATTTCAACATTAATAATCCTAGCGTACCTTCGTCTACTCTTGCCTGAGAGTCACCTTGTTTATCCTGTAATGGGCCTTTAATGGCTCCCGGGCAGAAGTGAACTGCAAACAGACTGTCAAAGCTTTAAAGGGGATATCCTGCTAAGGCACTTTAAATAAATACTGGGATCCTTTGTGGAAAACAGAAGAAATAAAATGAGTCAAGACCATGTCCACAGGTGGTTTTCTGTCAGAATTAGATTATCTTCACGTCTTTATTTGGAAGACAGTTTTTTTTTTCTTTTTTATGGTGCTGAACAACTGCTGTTATTATTATATTTATATTGCAACTTCACACAATAGCTGCTCATGTCAAAAACCTTGGCAAGGTATGCGTTTTACCATTTGTGGACCTAATAAAAAATTGGCAGAAGTCATAAAAAATGATTCTGTAGAACCAAAGCAACTCAGGAGATGGCAATGTATTTTTCTTTTGTTCTGCTTTTAAATAATAAACATATATGAATGGTGTCCTAAAGAGTAAGAATAAGGATTATCCGATTTTTCTATTTAACTCATCCGAAGAAAATGCTTACTCGGGACTAAAATTCTAAAAGAATTCATTCCTAAAAGAGCATCTTTTAAAAATGTATCGATTATAAGAGATAGTGTAAAAATCTTGAAGGCTGTTATATCTTAAAAGTCAGGGATAAAGCTGAGGAGAAGTGTAAGGTAAGGTCTACGGCTACCCAGCTTTTCTCATGCACGATTGCCTTCCTATGTCTGCACAAAAGAGGGGAATGCCCCCAATTTCAGGATTTTTAACTTTTCATAGAAAATAGCCTTAAAAGTTAGGGAATTAAAGGTCTAGACAGTGATTTGAGGTTGCCCCAACCACCAGTGCCCAAGTTAACTATTGTTAATGTGGACAGACTTTTCCCCTCTGGAGCTTGTCCTAGATGCCTCCGAAGGTCTCTTCATCTTACTTGTGTATAGACTTTACACACAGTTTATGTCACATAGCCTAGGGTGTCACCATTTTTGGAAAAATAGTTCTTTCCTTAGTGATATATTAGTTCAGACTATTAAGATTAAGACAAATGACTAATTGCTCTAAAGCAATTCTATCTTTGCCATCCCAGGGAAGAGTCAGGGCTCTCTGAATTTGAGCTTGATATATTTTCTCCCCTCCTTCAACCTTTCCTATTAAAACCGGAAAGCTTTCCACAGCAAACTTGCTTAGTTTATAACATATATTGAAAGCAGGTCACCGAAACACTACCAACGGCTATGTGAATTCTTGCTGGGGCAGGTGGAAAAAAGTGGCCCAAAGGTAGAACCAAATAAGTCCAAAGGTATCCAGGGAAGCAGGTCAACAACAGCACACTACATTAAGAAATGCCCAGAAAGACCGATAACACATGTAGACAGATTGTTTCTGTGTCTGTTGACATGCTAACACAAGCAGAAGAAAAATAGAGAAAACCGATCAACCATTAGAGATCTGACTACCTTTATTTCAGGCATCAGTTGAGTCAGCTATCTCTTTGGGTGACCCACTGACACAGTTCTGTGAGAGTGGAATAGGGAAGGGAATGAGAAAGAATGTGCTAGAGGAAATAGCACACCACAGGGCAAAAAGACTTGGCCAAAGATGAGGCCTCCTTTCTGAGAGACTGTGCACAGCCTTTGCCTGCCTAATTATAGATACCACCAGTGTACATGGGCAACTGTGCTGCCATTTTGAAAGTAATATTATATCCATTTCATCTTCCTGCCAACCTCATACAATGACAGGAGGACATACAATACTATAGTCCTCAATTTATAGATGAGAGCATGTTTTTCTGAAGAGGTTAATGAATTAAGGTCATGCAATCTGCAAATGGTGGATTCTAGAGTAAAACCCAAATTCCTTTTATCTGCATGTTAGTTTACTGTGCCCTTCAGCAATGCGGACCATACCAAAAGAGTTTGCCCTATTTAATAAAAAACAATTCAGGGGCACCTGGGTGGCTCAGTCGGTTAAGCGTCCGACTTTGGCTCAGGTCATGATCTCGTGGTTCATGGGTTCGAGCCCCGCATCAGGTTCTGTGCAGGCAGTTCAGAGCCTGGAGTCTGTTTCAGATTCTGTGTCTCCCTCTCTCTCTGCCCCTCCCCTGCTCATGCTCTGTCTTTCTCTGTTTCAAAAATAAATTAAAACTATTAAAAAATTTATAAAAAAATTAAAAAAAAACAATTTATTAACAATTCATATAAAGATAGGAGCAATCAAAAACACATGGAATTTAAAAAGGGAGTTTCACTTGCCTGCAACAATATTTTAAGATTCTTGGATGTTGTGCAAATGTGTTTAAATAATAATGGCCTGAGAAATTCACTTAAATTAAACTCACTGTTTTACAAAACTAAGGCCATGACAAGCCAAGTCAGGAAATTAAAATTTAAGGCTGTCATTCTGTGGTTACAAAAAAGAGGAAAGTGAGTGAGTAAAAAGAGCATATGAACACATCTTTTATACTCAGGTCTTAAATAGGAATAAAAGGAAATTATAATTTAAGAGAAAAATACAGAAGTTCAGAAGGCTTATAACTTAAGTACAGTTTCAGATCTGTCGATGGAAATGTCAACTTCAAGACATGTTTAGTAGCATAATGTATTTATTTCAAAATGTAAAGCAGATTAAAAGCATATTGAAGCAAATAGGCAGCTCTTTTCTCCTTGCAGAGGAGGGAGTTTGGTGTGGGTGTGGGTGTGTGTCTGCCTCAGGCGCTGTCAGGGTAACTTTTGAATAATGTTCCACCATGAATCTCTTTTCTGTCCCAAACTGCAAGCTTTCCAAGCTGAATTTTATTTCTCTAGATTTGATAATTTTTCTAGACTCCATCCTCTACCTCTACACAACATAGGGAATGGTACACTGGCCAAATGTGAAAACCTCAACATAAATTTAACATAATATTTTGAGCTACATGAAAGACACAAATATCAAAAATGTCTCAGAACATTTTTATTATAAGAGTCCCTGTTTACTGTTACAATTAAAATTAAAGCACCTTTAAAACAAAACAAAATAAAAGACATACAACAATTATAAGATTGTACGGCTGCTACAAATTCCTTTTGGAAAGAGGTAAAGCATAAGTAACTTTAAAAACAAATAGAACATTATTTGTGCATAATGGCTAATATAGCCTCTATGTAAGCCTTATAGTTTATGGACTGTAACTCAGAGTTCTGAGTTATTAAAATTTGTTGCTTCTCAAAGAAAACCCACATAACACACGACATATTTAGCACCCTGATTTTGGTCTATACATACTGTTTCCCACTGAAAGGATCAGAGCTCTTTGGGGAAATGGTTAATTCCAGGGAAAGAGGAAGGAAATGTGACTATTAAGTTAAAGCAGAATAAATTAGATAAAATTAAAAATTCCAGCTGTCACCTTGGACAGGAACATATTGGGCATTTCCATCACTGCAGGAGTTCTATTGGACAGGATTAAAAGGGATCTAAGAGACTAAAAGAGATTTAAGAGACAAAAAGTAATGTGAGTGGGGCACCTGGGTGGGTCAGTTAGTTAAGTGTCTGAGTCTTGGTTTCGGCCCAGGTCATGATCTCAAGGCTCATGAGACTGAGCTGATAGCGTGAAGCCTGCTTGGGATTCTCTCTTCCTTTTTCTCTGCCTTCTCTCCCCCCAAAATAAATAGATAGACATTAAAAAAAGGCAATATGTAAAATTGTTTCAATCTGACCAAACAAATAATAAAAAGATTCTTTTAAAAAATTTTTTAAATGTTTATTTTTAAGACAGAGAGAGACAGAGGGCAAGCAGGGTAGGGGCAGAGAGAGAAAGAGACACAGAATTGGAAGCAGGCTCCAGGCTCTGAGCTGTCAGCACAGAGCCCTATGTGGGGCTTGAACCCGCAAACCTCAAGATCATGACCTAAGCTGAAGTTGGATGCTTAACTGACTGATCCACCCAGGCGCCCCAAGATTCTTTATTTGAATTAATGGGGAAACTTAAATACAGCCTCAGAACTAGAATGTTAAAGAATTATCATAATTAACAATGTGTGATTAACAGTATTAAGTTACATATGAAAACGTCTTTATTTTCAGAAATACACCTGGAAGTACATATGTGAATAAATGTCATATTGTCTGGAATTTTAACATGTCTCATAAAAACAGTTGAAGTAAATATGGCAAAATGTAAATAACTGTTAAATCTAAATAATAGAATATTTTCTATATTCCTATGTGTGTTTGAAATTTGTCAAAATAAACTGTTAACTCATAGCTTCTTGCATTTGTAGTTTTAAAATAGTAAATGTAATTTACACATATATGTATAAGCATGTGCATTTCTATGTACATTAGAAGCTAGAACCATACAGGTCCAGTATATTGGCCTCAAAAATAGTTACCGCTCTGTCTAAAGTGTGATTGTCATAATTAAGTCAGGGATGATTAAAACTGAAATGATAGAACACAGAATTACTAAAGTTGTCAATAAACTGTTCTTATACCTAAGTTATTTAGACTATTTGATGGACAGACAATACAATTGGCCTATAAAAGTGGCAGATATTTTATATTTTAGAAGTATCAAAAATTGGGGGCACCTAGGTGGCCCAGTCAGTTAAGTGTCCCACTCTTGATTTCAGCTCAGGTCATGATCTCATAGTTTATGAGTTCAAGCCTCAGGTTGGGCTCTGTGCTGATAGTGCAGAACCTGCTTGGGATTCTCTCTCTCCCTCTCCCTCTGCCTCTCCCCCACTCTCTAAATAAATAAACATTAAAAAAATAAGTATTAAAATTTTAAAGTATTTTAGGAATCATATTTAGTTGTTTTAAATTAAAAGCACCATGATAAAAATATCTAGAATGGCTAAAATCCCATTTAATATTTGATTTAAGTACAAAGTACAAAAGCACTAGGTTGCTTAAGTACTCTTAAATTGAATAGCCAGATCATGTAAGCATTGCATTTGTTCAATAATACTGTTCATGAGAGTATGAGGAATCTCATGAGAAATGAGGAATCTGCCTGATTAGGTCAAATTGAATCATCAATGAAAATATATGATAAAGCAAAATTTCTAAACTAAATTACCAAATTGCATATAAACCTCTGTAAATATTGTTGAATCAGGGTTATATGAAACATAAAAAGTATATGTGTTTTTTTTTTAATTTTTTTTTTTAATTTTTTTTATTTATTTCTAGGAGAGAGAGAGAGAGAGAGACAGCGTGAGCAGGGGAGGCTCAGAGAGAGAGGGAGTCACAGACTGAAACAGGCTCCAGGCTCAGAGCTGGCAGTCAGCACAGAGCCCGACGCGGGGCTCGAACCCACAAACCGCGAGATCATGACCTAAGCGAAAGTCGGACGCTTAACCGACTAAGCCACCCAGGCGCCCCAAAAGTATATGTTTAAGTATTTAGATTCACTTGATGAATTTTCCAATATTTATCACAGAAGTCTAAAACATTTTAGCAATCACATACTTCTATGACATAAGAAGGTAGATCTCTATGACACAAAATAATGGAAATACTTGGGATGTGTGTACTATTCATTTAATGAGGATTTCTTAAAATGAAATAGTTATTTATTATGGCAAGTTAGTAAGATATATTTAAGCAGTGTAAACCGGTAAACCATATAGTACACACAGAAGCACTGACTCTAAAATTAATTTTTGGATCTCAATTACTCCATTTTGTGAAACTGATGAATACTGCCCTCACTACATGATGTATGTGAATGGCTTAGTCCCAATATACAGATATTAGAATCTGTAGAGTACCAGATATGACTTCTTTATATGGTAGAAATTAATAAAATAGAGCTACTATCACTTTTGAGCTTCAAGGATAACTACTATTTCCATTAAATAAGATATAAATATGCTGAGAATAAAGTTCCATACTGATCATTTTTATGAAAGGCAATAGCACTAAAACCTTTAAGATAAAAAATTGGGCAACTTATATTGCTTGAGTCCCAGACTTGGTTATAAAATATATGTAAGGTTTACTCTAGCTTACTGTACTAACAGCAATAGTCAAATTCTATGCTCTGGAAACCATGGGCCAAGTTTTTAGGAAAGGAAGAAGGAAAGAAAAATAAAGAAACCATGGCTTTTTTGGAGCCAGGATCAGAGCAAGGTAAAATTCTAAAGGAGCTGACCTTTGCCTTCACATACTTCTAATGTGCTTTCTATGGCCCCTTTCTCCCTTGGTGGGATTTGTTTTCTTCCTCCTGTCCCAATTCTTGGTGATACTCTCAGTCTTTTCACAGGTGGCCTACCCAGGCCTGACCGACTCAGGAACACTCTAGAATCTCTCCCCAGGCACTGGCTTTCCCTCTTCTGTGTCCTACACTCTAGTCATCTCTCACTAAAACAGCTGGATCAGATAGAAACGACAGGAAAGCAACCTCATTGAATTCAGAAACAAGATGTGACTGCCTATAGCCCTTCCAGCTACATTTGCATTAGTTAAAAATATAATGCCAAATATCATACCTACTTAAAATGGAGACTTTTTTTTTTTTTAATGTTTTATTTATTTCTAGGAGAGAGAGAGACAGTGTGAGCAGGGGAGGGTCAGAGAGAGAGGGAGTCACAGACTGAAACAGGCTCCAGGCTCTGAGCTGGCAGTCAGCACAGAGCCCGACGCGGAGCTCGAACCCACGAACCGCGAGATCATGACCTAAGCGAAAGTCGGACGCTTAACCGACTAAGCCACCCAGGCGCCCCTAAAATGGAGAAGTTTTAATATTCTCACAATTGGGAGAAAAAGCCTACCACCATGATAGGGAAGCCCCGAGAGAGAGAGAGAGAGAGAGAGAGAGAGAGAGAGAGAGAGAAAGTACGCAAGTCCTCAAAGCAAGCCAACCTGGTTCCGTGCCTTTAACTCTTAGTAAAAATAGCAATAGCACTTTCCCCTTCTGACTCCAGGTTTTCTCCATGCTCCAGGGTTTATGAAGTTTCTCTAGGTATAGCTCAGAGGCATGGTGGGGGAGGTGAACTCTGCAGGTGGCTGGATATAGGGCTATTTAATGTTGGGAACCACTTTAAATAATTTAGGGGAGTAAATTTGCATTCTTATTTACATTTGGCTCAGGATTAATCTGGAATTTGCTGTATTTCATCAACATACCCGTACTTCAGAATTACAAGGGAAATCTCTTTTGATATTAAAACCCAGCAGCAGATGGCCAACTGCAGATTAGCTACACAACATTGGCAGCTGACTTTCTTATTCTGATAGTCAAATATATTGTAATTCTTTTCCAACCAGCTAATTTCAAACTTCATTTAAAATCCGAACAGTGCCTGAGTTTTGATGGCTTACTAATTGAGTTTAAAAAACAAAAACTTTGAAATAAAAAGAACTATACCAATAAACTGTGTCTAAACTATTTAAGAGCAGAAGACAGAAATATTGACACACATGTAACCCATGATCTTGCCCTCAGTCACAGTTAGAAATGTATCACTTCATCATGCTTTGGAAACCTGCTCTCATAAAATCGTCTAGTATGTCTCAGATGAGTGGCAACAAGGAATTTTAGGAAATTTTTAGACATCAAAAGTTGTTTAAAAGCATCACTCCTCTGTATCTAAAGTCTTAAGAAAAAAAAAAAGCCCTCAAGATGACAGTGTTTCAGTGAATGGCTTTTAAGACACTAATGTTGGAATAGTAATTACCTGTAAGGGACTCGCCAGGGACCTGTTTTTAGGTACTGTAAATGCTTTGAGAACATTGTCTTCATCTTCTGATACTGGTGTCATTAAAACGGAACTTGTAAGAATATTCTAAAGGGAAAGAACAATTTGAAATTTAAATGAGGCTGGAGAATATGAGAGCCGACACAATTCTGACACCATAGACAGGAGATGATTACGAAGTGATGCGCATGAGCAGGAACAAATGCAGGGATCTGCCACAAATCTTCTCACTGAGCTAAGAGAAGGCCTTAGCTACATACTTACCTGCATCCCATCATGGCAAACACCTCTACAACAAAAAACTTTGGGTCCTGATATAGTTCTAGGCAGGAGATGGGCCCTAAAAATATACCTGCTAAAGGAGTTAGTAAATCCATACTTTTGAAAATGAAAGATCTACTAAGCTCCAGTTAGAGAGCTATTTATTTTGTACGTTGGTATAGAAATATTTTAGAGTTACAAATTAATGGCAGTATAGTATAATGGTTAAAAATGTGGAATTTAGGGGTGCTGGGTGGCTCAGTCGGTTGTGAATTTTACCCCTGTATTGGGTTCCTCGCTGGCATGCGGAGCCTGTGTTGGATCCTCTCTCTCCCCTTCTGTCTGCCCCTCCTCCACCCATGCACTGCTCGCTCTCTCTCTCTCCCTCTCTCTCTCTCTCAAAATATAAATAAATATTTTTTTTAAAGTACGGAATTTAGAACTAAACTCTCTGAGTTCTAACTCTGAACCACCACTTATAGCTATGTAATCTTAAGCAAGTGATTAAGCCTCCCTGTGCTTGTTTCCCAGTTGGTATAATGGCAATGAGAATGTTACCAACCTTGCAGGGCTGCTGGGCTTAAATGAGGTAATACATCTAAAGCTCTTAGAGAATAGTACTTACCACTTGGCACATTCTGAATAAATATCAGCAGTTGTTATTAACTCTGATTCTCCATGAAGGACAGACATGGATAAATTACAAATTTTTAAAACAGTTTAACACTTAAAAGTTAAACTTAACACTTAAAGTTACTTAGTGGTAACTAAGTGCTAAAAAGAAAGGAGCTCTCAAGCCATGACAAGACACACAGGAAGGTGCATATTACTAAGTGAAAGAAGCCAGTGTGAAAAGGCTATACACATATGATTTTTAACTATATGAAGTCTCGGAAAAGGCAAGACTATAGAGATAGTAAAAAGTCAGTGGTTTCCATGGGTTGGCGACAGGGTAGGAGAGTGATGGAGGAATGAGTAAGTAGACCACAAAGAATTTTTAGGACAGTGAAACTACTCTCTATGAAACTGTAACAGTGGATACATAGCATAAATTTGTCTGAACTCACAGAAGATACAGCACCAACAGCGAACCCTAATATAAACTACGGACGCTGAGGGATAAAGGGTCAGCAGTGCTGGCCTATCAAGTGTAACAAATGTACCACTCTAGTGGAGAATGTTGATAATGATGGGGGTTACGCACGTGAGGGGGCAGGGGTATGTAGAAAATCTCTGTATCTTCGGCTCAGCTTTGCCATGAACCCAAAACTGCTCTAAAAAATAAAGTTTATCTTTAAAAATGGTGGCAACCAAAGTAATGCAATGACAGGAACAGTAAAGGGCATCTACTATAGATGCTGATTGGCATTATGTTAGATTCTGTGTAAAACCAAACAGGAGATGATGTAACAAGGAGGAAATACTACATTTGGAAGACAGATAAACAAACAAGAAGAAAATGTAAAAATTAACATTCTGTTTTCACAGAAATACATATTTTCAGGCAGCAGATTTTTCTAAATGGCAACGACTCTCAAATCAAGAAAATAAATAATGAAAAAAATCTGCGATGAAAAAGAATCTATTTCCAATACAGAAACAAAATGTCTACATTCAACATTAATGATCATAAGGAATCATAAGGAAATAAACATGTAATGGAGAATGTTTAGAAATATGATGCATTAAATAGTGCTAAAACCACAGGAGCCTCACATGCCACATGGAGAATTCTGCGAGGCACCAACATCTCATAACATGGGTGTGTACTTACTGGCACATCCGCCACAGGCGATGCCTGTGTGAACAGCTGAGTGTTCAGGCTCTCCCCTTCCCAGTGGTTGGAGCAGAAGAAGTTTCCTGCTTTATCCGTCGGAGATTCCACCTGAAAGCAAACAGGAAGTGCTTTGTTGTTTCTAGAACTAGAACTTCCCATGGAACACTGATACTCGGTAAATTTCTATAAGATGAGAAATATCTGAGGATCTAATGTGTAACATGGAAACTGTCGTGGATAACATTGTATTGTCTAACTGAAATTTGCTAAGAGGGCAGAAGTTAAAGACAAACATGTGAAGTGATGGTTATGTCCGTTAACTCAGTGATCCTTCCACGATATATACGTATACCAAATCATCATGTTGTATACTTCAAATGTCTTACAATTTTGTCAATTATATCTCAATAAAGCTAAAAAGAGAAAGGGGTAAATTTCTGGCCATTCTCTTAAATATTTATCCTAATATGAAAATAAATTCAAGAGGCACTGTATCTACCTGTTGGAAATGCTTCTTGCCACCAAGCTAAAACCTGGATCCCTGCAAGTTACAGTGTTTTTCTTTTATACTAGAAGTTAGATACTATTGTTTAAATTTAAATTTCAATTCTCCATGACATCTGAAAGTTAAAAGTTGATGTATTAATTATCTATCCATCTGTGTATCAGTGATAAAGTACAGTAAAAAGCTGCTTCCCTCCCTATCCTTTATCCTCTCTAACATGTTTTCTGTTCACACAGAAGTGGCCTGGCTTCCCAAATGAAAGGTTACATGCCTACAGGCTGGCAGTACCTCTTAAATGCATCTTGTAGGCAAATCTTGTATGAAAAGTGGTGCTGTTACCCAGTACTGATGCCAGACATAAAAAGCTGTCCACAAGGAACAGGGAGCAGGAATCACATCTTGTTCCTTCTTGATCCAAAGGATCTCGTGTTTACCTCTTGTTTGATCTTCTTCAGTAAAGGTGGCCCATTTTCTTGAAACTCAGCGACAATTCCAGATTCATCAGATTCCTGCTTGATCACATCCTGTAGGTCTTCTACTAGATGAGATGGTGTCTGAGGCTGAAAGGAAGGGTGGATATGTTTGCATCAGAGGAAAATTTCTGTCTGTGATGAATACATCAGCTAACCTCAAGAACTTGGCTAAAACTTACTAGCATCTTCAGAGGACCATATTTAACTTCTTGAGCTGCAAGTGCATGTTTGAACGGTGTAGGAGTTCTTGGAGAGCTTTCTAGGATTGACCTTTTGATAGCTGGAGTTCTAAAACTTTAAAGGGAAAACAAGTGTTGGTTCAATATGAAAGAACATAAACCCTTTACATCATTCTACCTATTAAATGTAATATTTTTATACTGAATATACCCTATTATTGATATGCAATTGGGTATGTGAATTAATCATATAGGTACTTTTAAGAAAAAGATAATATACACATTATGTATTTCCAAATATTTAAAAATATAATAGTCCCAAGACTAAGAACATTAAAATATTTTTCATCTTTCTTTAATGGTTCTGAAGACACATATAGTGCCTCTAGGTCTTTCTAATGGTCATAAACATGGTAAAGATCTGATGTCATTTACAAATCGATTTTATCTATTCATTAAAACAGGCTCATCATAGAAAACATAGAAAGCAACCTTTTAAAATGTACTTATTGTAACAGGAAATAGTAAGGTTGAATTTTTTTTATTGATGTTCTCTGCCATTTCTTTGAATTGGTTAAGCCCAGAATATAAATACTGTTTAATCACTCCTTGGCTTCTGATCATATAATATCCCTGGGGATTTTAGAAGAAGTCTTATCAATAGATAAATTTCAGAAATGAAACGTAAGATTTAAAAAAACATGAACTAAGTAAAGAACAATACCACTGCTATTCTGAATTTTGTAATCAGAGAGGAAAGGAGGTTGAAAATCTTGTCTTCAGTGAAGAAAGAAAGGCCTTACTGAGCAAACAGAAAAACTGAATGGAAAAATTATATAAGGACTACCTCTGAATGTATAGAACATTTTCAAGTGAGCTACAAAAAGTAATCTAGTTTGTCCTCTGACTTGCCACCTGTAGGTAGTTGTAACATGTCCAGGATGGATATATTCAGTGTGGGAATATATGTGATTATGTACATGCAAGTGGATCAGTATAATTATATACATGCAAATGGATTAGACATTGGGGACTATATTCCATTAATTAAATATAAGTAAATAAGGGGAAATAATTTTATTCTTGAACCAAGAACTTACATAGTATTTTCCTTCTGAGTTTTCACAGTCTGGTCTCTATGAAATGGTGTTGTAACAGTCAATTTGTGACCATTGAGAGGAGTAGAAGTTAAAGAAGGCATTTCCAAGTCTAAGTTTTCATGGTTACTAGAAGTGTTTAAGAACTAAATATGGGAAGAAAGGGGAAAAAATTACTTAGATTAAACCGTGATTCTTTATTCAGTCCAACTTAAAAATCACACCACGAAAACAAGCAAGTATGTTTTACTGACCCACTATGTAAAATAATTAAGATGATAACAAACACATAGCATTGGATAGGGTATTGTTTTATTTCATTTGAGCAGTCAAGGTTTCGGAATGTAATTTCCAAGAAATAAAATCTAGGGTCACTGCTGCAAAACTTGCAAAATCTGAAGAAAGTATTCTCAATAAAGGCCACCTCCCATTAAAGAGAATGAGATGCACTCTTTATTAAGATTACAAGCATTAAAGAGATTTTTTGGAAAGGAATTCTTGTTTTTCTTTCATGCTATTTTTTTCTCTTTAACGATCTATGAATTATTATGATAGAAGATTTGCATTATGTGGAAAATTCTTGAATAGTAAGCTGTGTTTCTCCAAACACCATCATTCTGGGAAAATGACAGGTGTTCCTTAAAAAGTTCCAAGATAAAATAAATTTGGGAAACATACATATATCATAATCTCCTCCTTGAAATTCATACACCAATGCATTCAAAACTCCAAGAGGTCCTGCAGTAAAGAGACCAATTTTAACTCTGACTTAGTGTTTCCCAAACTTATATATTTCAAATTTTTCTGGAGCATCTACTAAAGTCTTGCAGAACTAATATTCTCCAGAACACAATTTGGAAGATAAAAGCAAAAAACGAGACAATTGTTTTGGTGGGTGCTTCATTTGTTCATATTTAAAGCTGTCCTTAAAATAAATCCAACAGGCATAACTGGAAAAATGTTTGAAAGTGCCAAATTAACTACTGACTTCAATTATTTTAATAATTAAGGAATACAAGTCTCTGATAAGAAATGTAATTTCTGTGACTTGTAAAAAAAAAAAACTCTATGAAATGAGGATATTTATGGCAAATACTGTGCTGATAACATATTATGGCACAACTCAAAAAGCCAATGTTGAGAAATTAAAATTAAAACAGAAGTTGTTTTCCTTAAGCATTTGTTCCTTATGCTTTTCCAAAACTTTTCCACATAAAGATGGGTTGGAACCTTTAAAGTTTCTGGTTGCAACTCAAATGCTCTCCAAACATACTTTGGTAACCTCCTCCCCTGGGTCAGTGAATCACAAAGTACTAAGTGAACAAACAGGAAGAAAATCTACTAAAGTTGTTAAGGAGAGAGAAGGGATGGCAGAAAAGGAAGGGACAGAAATGTTAAACTCTAGTGTTGAAGGAAATAAAAACACATCCCATGCAGCTAAGAGTGTTTCAAATCACCAAAAAGAAAGAGCGAGAATTAGGACAAAATCATCAGTCAGCCTACAGACAGCTCAAACTTTGGGAAGCAGTATGACTTAGCAACAGCTAGATTCAACAATGGAACGAAATCAGTGAGGGCAACAGTAATTAGTCATTTGTTCCAAAGGATTAGTTTCTAGATTATTAAGTCTCGAGTGTCTGTTGAAAATTAGTAATAGCTGGGCAGAAATCATGCTCTACCTGCGAAGGGGAGAAGGGTAGGCTTTTGAAAGGGGAACGCTTGGGAGTTGAGCTGCTGACGCCAGCAAATAGGAAGGCGCTAGAGCCTCCGGCGGCTAAAGGGCTTGCCTGGCCCCGCTTGTTTCGAAGGATGACCAGCGGAATTGTGCTGTGCCTCGAAGGAGGTAAGGGCTTGAGCGGGTCAAGTGAACCCTCACTCAGCTTGTGCGGGTTTACCCCCGTGCTAGCCTCGCCCGCAGGTCTACTCGGACTGCCCTCTCTTTGCTGAAGCTGCAGGGCTCTGCCTGCATGATGTTGGCTAGGTGAAAAATCTGCTTCTTCAAAGAATTCAAAACTGCTGAGATCACACCATGATGAAGAATCCTGAAACAATGTGGGAGGCACAGAACTTTGAGACAGTGTGTGCATATGTGCCGTCACCTGAAACACAGCACCGAGAAAGAGACACTGGATGCAGAGAAAACACCTGTCCCTCTTGAGAAACAGCTTCAGGATTAATAACTGTTCCGGCATGCCACATAGCAGGTCTACCATGCCGCCTCCATGGTCCTACATGTGTGCCACAGGGACCTTCTGGTACTCTCTCATTTGTATGCAGTCCAAAGCAGAAAGAAGGTCTCTTCTAGATGGTACATTTTGGCAATGTTCATCCCGTTTGATGGATATGCAATAAGTGCTTTTTAACCAACCGGGTAACAAAGGAAATAAATTGAGTATCTGCTTTTTAGGTGCTAACCTCATGTTTGTTTCACTAAAGATGGTTTATATCATTGAACCTGTTGGGACTGGCAATCAATCATCAATGTTTGGTGGAGAGAGCCATGAACCACCAATGAACTCACTACCACTTCAAATACATTGAAAGACTGCTGAAAGTTCTAACTAAACACAATTCTTAATGTGCGATCCAAAAGCAAAGCACAATTCTAGGGGCACCTGGTGGCTCATTCAGTTAAGCATCCGACTCTTGGTTTCGGCTCAGGTCATGATCTCACGGTTCCTGAGTTCCAGCCCTGCATCGGGTTCTGTGCTGACAGGGTGGAGTCTGCTTGGGACTCTCTCTCTTTCTGCCCCTCTCCTGCTCTCTCTCAAAATAAATAAACTTTAAAAAAATTAGAAAATAAAACAAAACAAAAAAAAGTAAAGCACAATTCTAAAGAAACATAAAAAAGTAACAAAGTAACTAAATTAAAAATAACTCAAACATTATTCCATAACCTAAGATCTACTTATAGGTCTTAAACCTTAGTATTTTAAATAATAGGCATTTTGAAGGAAATGCATGAAAAGCTACCTTTTACCTGCACAGCCTACGAAATCAGATCTTTCAGAAAACATACACAAAGGCTAAAATCATACTTTTACATTCATATATGCTAATAACATGACATTTGCTATAGAAAATGGCAATAATTTGAGAAATGGGTTTCCTGATTCACATCAAAAACATTAACTTGCCTTAACAATTCTACTTACAGAATCTATAAATTGAAGTGTTTCTGCAAATTCTAAGAGGTTCTTAACATTATCCAGAATGGTGCCTTGGTGGACGATCATGCACCTTGCTGGAGAGGCACTTTCTTCAGGGAGGGAGCCAGGATCCACAGGCAGAGAGGGAGTGGAGTGGTGTTCTTCCAAACAGGAAACAGGTGCACTGTCTCCATGAGGTCTGGTGTGGTCAGCGATGGTGGTGCTGTGCCACCCGGGGTAGCTGCATGTGTGGTTCTGCGTTTAAGGAGGGGGTTGGGGGGATAAAGAAAGAGTGGGGAGAAGAAAGGGAGAAGGAACTTAGCAATGAAGTTGCACAAGGTATCAGATGCTGTTGGAGGAAAGATAAAAGTAGTTGCATCATCCAAAACTTGCGCCTATGAAACAGTCGTCAAGATGTTTCCTTTTATCGATGCAAGAGCCTATTTAATAGCAGTATAGTCTGTCACCTATATGAATAGCCCTCACTTGTCATCACTTTGCTAAAACTGCAAACAGAGAGACTGTGTCACAAAGTGCGACTTTCCCAGGAACTATCTCAAAAGTCTACTCTAACATAACCTCCAAGAGGACCACGCATGGTTGTCTTGAACTAAGAATTGTCCTGTTCTCATTCTAACCTACAAAAAGGCCAGAGGACTCAAGAGTTAGAGGTGCTTTTCTCGGCAGACGTTCTCGTTGCTTCTATCCCTTTTTAATGTTACGGATTGCACCGATGCAGTGAAGGGCTGCCAAATCAACATGGTTAGGAAAGCAGAAGGGCAAATTAACAGAAGTCTCCTTTCAGCATGACCGCGCAACAGGAGAAATTGCAAAACATTAACTAGAGTTAAAAAGTGGTCGAACTAACATATGCACATAATCATCTTATGATTTAACCCTAAACACATCTATTCCTGAGAATACCTGCTGGGTATCACATCTCTTTTATTCTCTTTGTTGCTGAACTACAACTGTCACAAAGTACACACTGATTTCTCAGTTTCCAGCCAATCACCAAAAAAGACGTCAAAATTCAGTAATGGTCCACACAGCTTTCACGCACACAAACGGAAGAGAACAGGCATGTTATTCATGGAGAGATGATACATATCTTTTTCACAGGTATACACTGAACATGCTTCAAATCATACGTGAAATTAGGAAGTATGAAAATCAAGGTTAAGAAAAATAATAGAAAAAGAAAAAATCAAATGAGTAGGTATCATACAGATACATAGCTTTGTAAATAAACGCAGATTTTCATTCATTTATATCGGTTAGTCGGTCTTTGAATTGATAACAGTCCTGGAAAAACAAGATTGATGGTGACAATTACAAGTAGATACTGTGTTTCTATTGCCACGCAAGAGGGCTGCTTTTAATTTAATCAACACACATGGTGATACCAACTACATTTTATTACAAGCAACTTTTGTTTAAACATTGTTAATAAAGGGACATCTGTCTGCGTGGCTCAGTTGGCTAAGTGTCTGACTTCAGCTCAGCTCATGATCTCGTGGTTCATGGGTTCGAGCACCATGTTGGACCCCGTGCTGGCAGTCTGCTGCACATTCTGTGTCTCCCCTCTCTCCCTGCCCTTCCTCCACTCACTCTTTGTCTCTCTCTCTCTCAAAAATAAACATTAAAAACAATTTTTTTAAACACTTGTTAATGGATCTATACTCTTGATTAGTGTAACAATTAGAAGAGAAAGGAAAAGAGACAGGAGGGCAGTGGGGAAGCTACCCCACATTCAGGCACACGGCTGCATTCTTACCGGTAGCGCCTGCTGTCCTTTGAGCTCATTCTCAGTTGACATTAGGAGCAATTCTAATTCCTTTATTCGCTTTTCTTTCTCAGGGTCTTCATCATTATAGTGTCTCTGAAATTAAAAGTGAAGGAAGAGAAAAAGACAAGGGCCTGATTGAAGCTGCAGATACAATGGTTATGGACCGCAGCCATGAGAGACCGGACAGCCCAAGGAGCCTCAGCGTGAGACCAGCACCAAGTGAATGAGGCACAAATTCTGTGAGTGTTATTCCACACGTAAAGGGGCAATGTGAAATCTGAGGCTCAAGTGGGTGCAGATTGATGAGCTGGTTCAACTCATAACACCAGAGAGTCAGAGAACTCCTGAGCTTACTCTCAAAGTGAAGACTGGTAGCTTCCTGGACAGAACTCCATCCACCTCTCTGCTATCTCCCCTCCCCCCCTTTTTTATATCTGTTGGTCAAGGGAAAATAAGCATGTACATGAAAGAAATAAAGTATGTCTTTAAAACATTGCCTTGAACCGTCAACGGGTTTCTTTACAAAGTGGTCTGCAAATGATCTTACCTGAATGGCGGCAGCAGCTGGCTGAGGGACATTGACTATATTTACATGTAACGCTACAGGATACGGGACATGACTGGAGACCTAGATCAAAAAGGCAGACAAACAAAGGCCGAGTCATTCATGGTCACATACGCTTTAGGGGAATTGGCTTCCTGAGGTTTTGCTCTAGGATTGAGAAAAAAAAAATACTGTACTAATAAAATTCACACATGCACAGAGGGGGAGAAAAACCCCAAAACCCTCTAATTTGAAATTTTAGCCAGGCCTTTAAAAACAGCCAAACAAATAGCTTAAGCGACATAAAGAGATTTGAAGTGCTCATTGATCTTGACAAAAAGTATTCTTTAATTAGAGAAAAACACAATGAAAAATATAACCTAAAATATCTTCATGAACGTAGGAAGTTGTAATGCGAAAAACTGATGACTTAGCTGTTTATAATAGAAGTATTTTTCTTGGAATAACTATTAGTTACATTAAAAAGCACAGAACTGCCTATGATGGTTCATTTATCTGAGACTTTTTTGGAAAGTCTGTAGTCAAATGAATGATAGAACAGATAGAGAAGAGTAAAAACTATTCAGGAATATGCTTTGAATATAATTTGCACAGGAGCTCCATTTTCTTGGCTAAGTTTCACCGTCTATTATTGTTAGTTGTAAGATTAAAGTTTATTGATTTTTTTCTTTATGCTTCATATTTTTCTTTTCCCTAAAGATAATTGTGTGGCAATTAGGCAGGCATCACACTGATCCAAAGGAGGATGAAAGAAGACAACAGAAAGTGGTGTCACCAAACTGCTCCTGACTCAGAGAGAGAAGGTAAACACACATGGAAGGACCATATTAAGACCTTTCTGCTAGATCACTAGCAGAGCCAAACTTAGAGAATCAAACTTGTTGCATTTCAGTGTCAAACGATCTCTGCTTTAAATTTAGTATGACACTCACTTTTCATTTTGGAAGAGAAAAACAAATGCATCTTCATTCCACCATTCTTCTTCAAGCAGGACCTTGTTAAGTAAACTTACATTTGAAAGCTACTCTGATCTGAAGCACTTCAGTTAGAATCCAAAGGCCTGGACCGCAGTCTGTACTATGAGCTGTGTGATTCTGCAGATTACCTAACATCCTGGCTTCCCAGGGTACACCAGGGATAACAAACCTCCCCCTATCTACCTCAAAGGCTGTGAAGTAGGGTGATCATTTTCATGGAAGCTCTCTGTAAAGTAAGCAAGTGTGAGGTATTACTATTACCTGGAGCTAAAATAACTATCTCTTTCAGTAAACTAAATTCTCAGAAATGGCTTACATTTTGTGCTTCAGAAATGTGGTAATAAGAATAATCATTGTTAACTGAGGTCTGCCCAGCTGGAGGGAGATGAGCCGAAGGTGGAGCATGAGCAAAACCCATCAAATGACTGTTCTTCTGAAAACTTGTGGCCACTGTTGGCGGGCTGGCTTTAGAAGACTCTTGCAGATAACCTTCCTGCTCGACCTTCCGACGCATTGTAGAATTCCAGTGGTTCTTGATAGCATTATCAGTTCTGCACAGAAATATATCATGTAAGAATTTTACAAAAAAAATTTAATTCAGATTAGAGTTAATTGACAGAAAACTGTTTCCAACAGAGACCTTTTCTTTGGGTCTTTTGTTTTTTGTTTTTTCTTTTAAATTGTTCTAGTCTTCTCTCTGAAAATCATGCTTCCCCTATGATCTAACTGAAAATCCATAGATTTGTCTTTATTACACAATATGGAATAAATGTGGATTTTTAGAAATCTTTAAATTTTAAATTTTGTTTTTAAATTATTTCCTTGATAAAAGAGAATTTTCAATACAACCACGCTTCATGTTTATTCTGACTGTTCATGGTACAAGACTCTAATACAACTTAAAGATGCAACTATTCTAGAAAAGTACTCCTTTGAGTGTGGCTTAGTAGGGCCTACACACCCCAATAGGCACACAGTAAAGTTTGGTGAATGATAATGATGTTGCCACTGCCTCACTGTCCACTCCTTATCTTGAATAGCACTAGCCAGAAATTTTGAGTAAAAAAAAAAAAAAAAAAGGAAAAAAGAAAAAAAGAAACTCCCACCTTTTGACATCCATCTCAAATTATTCTATTACCAGAGATGAGAATGGAAAATGGGATCTAGAAGGGAGAGATGCTGAGTCCCCATATGTTCAAACTGCAAAGCATTTTTACTAAAGTCTTTAAATTCTCAGGAAAAGTTTCTCAATTCAAAAAAAAAAGTTTTAAGCCTCCCTTTTACTATTTTGATGGGGGTGGGGGAATGTATGCTAAAGAAAGAGGAAGTTTCAATTGCCCCTTAAATTTTTACAGGAATCAACAGCATATCCTCAGGCCAAATGGGGGATAAGGTTTTCTTTCCTCAAAGTCTTGGATTCTGTAAGCTGATAGGAGCCAGGAGGGAGGCAGTGCTTTGGAACATCACACAGGAAAGCCACATAAACCATCAGAGCCACGGCCTTCTTTGAAGGACCCTTTCTCCAATTCTGATGTTTAAGAATATAATTTATTAAATATTTTCTATCTTATATTACTTATATAAGATTTATAATGAAAAGTATCTTCCAAATTAAAGAAAATGTATCATAAACTGTTCAAGTGGGAAGAGTGGGAGCTTCTAGAGATAGCCCTCATGATGAGGTCATTTTTGTGCCTTGTTCATTAAAAGAAAGCATAACACTGACATTATTTAAAAACCTGGAAGCAGTATGATAATTCCAGAAATACTCCATTTCTTTCCTTAAAAGAAAAGAAACGAAGCCCAGGGGTATAATGAAATGAATGTTGGTATCAGGAAAATGATAGCTGAGTTCCTTCTGATCACTTAACCAGCTGTATGAACTCAGACCAGAGGCAAAGTGTCTAGCCTCAGTTTGCTTCTATGTATTTAGAGTTTTATAGTTTACAAAGTACTTTGACATTCATTTTATTTTATACAAACATTGGCCCTGTGAAGAAGGCAGTTATTTAGTTTGCAAATAGGGCAACTGAAACTGAGGAGAGTTCAAGGACTTGGCCCAAAACTCCCTGTTGGGTAGATTCTGGAAGTCCTAAACCAGATAAACCCTTAAGACCTCCTCCAGTTTAAAAACCTATATCTCTGGCATATCTAATGAAACACTTACAATTATGGGAATGTAATTCACTCGCTATACATTTAAAACAAAATGTTCAATACCCACTCCCTCATTCTTCCCAATCAATATATTTTTTGACATATTATTACCGTCCAGGCAGTAGCTTTGCGATTTCTGCCCATCTGTTCCCCAGTCTCTTGTGTGCCTGGTAAATAATTCTGTCTTCCTCTTCTGTCCAGGAGGTTTTCTTAACTTCTGGATTCAAATGGTTATGCCACCTCTCCCTACATTGTTTTCCAATTCTCCCTTTTAAGTGCTTGGCAATAACAGACCAACGTTTCGGACCGTATTTCTGTACAAGCTCTATCACCTTCAGATAAACACACAAAAATAACCTATGTTTTAATGTTATGTAATGACTCAGTGTAATCATTCTTCAGTGTTACAAGATCTTTAGAAAAAGTCTAAGACTCTGCTTTCATTCATCGGAAAGATGGGAATAGAGTCCTCTGCTTCCTGTTCATACACTTTACCTGTTTTCTCAAGTTGGGAAACATTGAATTAAGATTTCTGGGGAATATTCTTAATTGTGATTCACACACCAATGAGGAAAGAACTTACTCTCTGATCTTCTTCTTTGGTCCAAGGCCCCTTGATGAGCTCAGGGTTTAGTACTTTCTGCCATCGGTGCTGGCATTGCACATCTGTTCGATTCTAGACAAAATGATAAAGCATGCACTGTCATATAGATAGGATGAGATAAGCACATGAAGACTTGATTATAACATGAATCGTACACAGACAATATACAGTGAACACATTCAGAAATATTTTAGGGCATGTTCGGAAAGCCTACCTGTCTGTCATTACTTATAACTAATGAACATACAGAGAATATATCAAAATTGGATCTAAAATTAGAAGCTCTACCTCTTAAGTGAAATAGTCCTGCCACGCAAATTAAAAGACCATCACATTGTAGACATGGCTGTCAGTTTAACTTAACCTTAACCTCAACATGTGGAATTACCTCTATGAACTAAAACTTGTTAGCAATTCCACATGAAGTTAAGCTTCCATGGACACCTACTCTAAATGACTAAAGTTTGCTTCCCATTCAACCTAAGAGAGAGACGTGCTTCAGTTTAAGGCCTCAAGTATTAATACTGCAGAATAAAGATGAATAAAGGTAAGAGAGTATAATCTTATAAAAAAAAAAAAGACTGATATATAACTAACTAATAGAAGGCAGGATTTGATTCATATGCAAGAAGAAACCAAAGCAAAATGATATTGGGCTGAGAACAGAAGGTTTTCCTTAGGAGCAGAAATTATGTTTCCTTAGGAGGAGTCTGGAAAAGCTCTTGATAGGGACTTTGAAGGATGGATAGAACATTCTAGGAGGTAGCATCACCAAGGACAGAAGCCCAAAGGAGGGAAAGCAGAAATGAATTCAACCAAACCTGCTGACAGAGAGGAAGTAGGAAACAGAACCGGAGCTGTATGTTGGGGCCCTGTGGAAGGGCCCCTGTGTGCCAGGTCTAGGCTGCATACTCAATTTGAGATTCCATGTTACTGCTGTTGATTTTGAAAAGGCACAGCTACATCTTAGGAAGCTCTATCTGCCAACAATGGTTGGGCTGGAAGGCTACAAATAGGAAAGCCAATTAGGAAGCCACCATAATTGTCCAGAGTAGAGGGAAGGGGCCAATTCTGTGGGGCAACAAGGAGGATGGAAAGCAACATGGGCTGAGTGATAAAGGAATTCCAGATTCCTCAGTCACTGTTTAGACGTAGGGGATGGGAAGTGGAATAAATGAAAAACGAGTCCAAAATTTTCAGCCAGGGTACCAAAAGTATGTCTACTGAAAAAAACATGAAATTTAAAAGAAACTAACTTGGAAATACCACGAGTTCAGTCATCCTAATGTATAACAAGTCATCAAAATACTAATTTATATTATCCAAATAAATTAAAAGATTATAATATAAACCATAAGTCATGGGTGAGGCATTTCTCCCCCTACTTCTTATATATGAGCAAATGTGTAATGTCTTAATACCCTCTCTCAGAATATCTTATTTAAATCATTGGGAGAAGATTTCCTTTCATAGAAAGAAAAAAATTACAAACTCACCGGGAGATAATTGGCAATAACCTTCCAGTCATCCGTTCCATTCTGTTCCACCAGCTTCTTCAGTTTTTCATCCTAAGACATTTAAAGTTAATCCTGGGGCATCACTCATTTACTGTATAACTTTATTCTAATTAGAGTAAAAGGGAACCAGTCCAGTGATCCAATCCAGGAAAAAAAAACCTCAAAAATATCCAAAAACACCCAGATATTAATGTACTATACTGGTTGGAGAATAGATGTATTTAGAGTCAAACAGACCAGAGTTTAAAAATTGACTCTGCTACTGACTAGTTAGATACACTTGGGGACATGATTTGACTTTTTTGGGCCTTAATGCTGTCATCTATGCAGTGGCAATGCTGATGTCAAGGTGTTTATTTGGGGATTACGTGAAGTAGCTATGCAAAACATTTAGCATAATGCCTGGCTCAGTCAATGTTTAGTATATGATAACTGTTAAAAGTTTTGCCTGATGGGAAAAAATTATGAACCCAATGTTAGAGTCAATAGATATTCAACTATGGCAGCAAATAGGATCTTGAGTAAGAACCAGTTCAATTTCTATTTTAACATCTAGTTAGTTCAACCTCTTTCACGCAAACAATGGAAGATCACTTTTTAAATTAAATTTGAAGGCATATATAATGTAAGAAAGTAATTTCATTTTTGTATTGATACATTCATAATTTAAATGAGGCCAAACTTATTAGAACACAGAAGACACCACACAACAGGGACAAATCTTTCAGTTCACAAGTGTCTTTCTACACACATTCTTTCACGTGAAAAAGAACCTCCACATTTCTGCAAAGGTAACTTTCACACACTGTGGGTCCCTAGAAGGGCACAGACACAGGACTTAGGAAACCAATGTTAACAACAGAACATCTGTAGCTCTCAGGGTCATCTAAGCACACGCTCCATAGGTAACCTATGCATTTCCTAGGGACCTTGCTAGCAATCCTGACTGCCTACCAACAGGGGCTGTGGTAAGCAAAGTGGGGTGGAATGAAACTGAAGAAGAGTCAATATCACTTATTCTAACAAAATCCTCTGCAGTCACTCGCAAAACTTTTTGAAAACTTTAAAGCAAAAGGAACTTTCCCCATCCATTAATAATTTTGCTCCTTAAGTATTTTCCCATTTCTACAAAGATCAAGCTTTTGATAAGCTAGCAGAAAAAGAAAGGGGAAAGAAGACACATCTCCATCCATCATTGAATGCCATTAGAACAGACATTCATGTATAATCCATCATGACAAGATAGGAGTATTTTGTTTCATACTTGTTTTGTTTTGTTTTGTTTTGTTTTGTTTTGTTTTGTTTTGTTTTTGGAAATAGCAATTCATTCACTTGGACAGACAATGCTTATTAACATCCGACTTTGAATCAAGCAATTCTGGGCTCAGGAAACATGAAAACAAAGAGATGTTTAGCCCTGTCCTCAGTAGGTTTGTAGTCAGCCTACTGGGGAAGGCACACATGTTACAGCAGCTATGAGGAAGAATGTGTATCCAATGCCTGGAGGATGCATCCAACCTGCCTGGGGAAGCCAGGGATAGCCTCTCTGAAGCGCTGATGTCTTCACAGGTGACGAAGAAGGAGTAAGAAGTTGTGCAGAAGGACAAAAGCAGAAAAGGCAGAGAGAAATACAGATGAAACATACACTGAGGATGGGAAATTCAAAGAACTACAGAGAATTTAGCAGTGGATTGTATGGTGTATGCGTGGGGCAGTGCGGGGAGTTCAACATGGTGCACAGGCTCGTGCTAATGAGGTTGAGCACCTGTAGTGTAGCTGTAACATCTTCTTCATAAATTGATATGCTCTAGGTTTATCCCATGGGTTTTGATACATGATTATTTACCTCTTCCCTGGTCCACCTAGTTTTCCCCAAGTGACGCTTTCCAGACTTAGGAAGCAGTCCATCATAGTCATGGTCACACATCTCAATGTCTTCATCATCCTCATCACTGCTGTATATGCTGCAAAAATTTAAAAAATGGGCAGACAGGGACTGAAACCAGAAGATTTAAAACTACTGGATTACAAAACTTACACGAAAACACAATCTTTTCAAAGGTTATGAAGATAAAAGTTTGAAAACTTGCACAACAAGATTGCTTTCTTCATTCTGTTGCTCCAGTATTGTAAACTGGTTCTGCTGTTATTGGTATCCACAGATACGGCAAAGGACCTGGCACTTTCTTATTGCTCTGCATGTTTAAACCTGCTGTGACTGTCAGCCCAGTGACAAGTTACACATTTGGCAACCTTCCAACCAATGAAGGTCTAAGTTTAAAACTTAATACTAAGGACAATCAGAGAAACAAGAGCCTATGTCCTTTATATAAGTACACACTCAAAATCTTTGGCATACACTACATCATTTAAATAATATTTCTCCAAGAAAATAAACAAGCCAACTATGCTACTCCAATGGAGTTGGTGTTTTATTGGGAGAAAAAAAATTCAAGAAGTAATACACCCAACAATACAATTATAGTCATCCCTTAAAGATTGGAAGATGAATAGAATGTAAGAGGAAAGGATTTTAAAAATCTGAGGAAGGATGAGGCCATCCAAGTGATCAGACTGCTTCATACACAGCATTAATACCCAACATCTCAAAACTCAAGGACAGTTGATCCAACCTGTGGCCACGATTACAATACTGTTTCCTAAGTAACTAAATGAATAATTAGGCCACTTGGTAGTCAGACTCTTACTTACTTTTTTGTTTTGTTTTTTTCTATTTCTGACTGAACACCATTTGAAACCTCTTAAGATGTATTCAAAACTGAGGGATTCCCCCAGATGGGTTTAAAAAGAATGCAGTAGTGTTTTGAAGAGAACTTTTCTTTTACCTAGTAGACAAAATTATGAATTTTGATGACTTTTGAAGTAATTCTACATTTAAGATTAATTAATCATATACTAAAGAGATGACAGTAACGTTACAGCCAGTAAAATTTACAGTTTACTTTTACCTATAATTTTACTTCTAAAATGAATGATATGCTATCTCAAATTATATCTTAATAAAATAAATTAATATAATACAAACATACACTAAATAAGTGATACTATCCTAGAAACTTCAGTAAAATTTTTCATTGTAATATTGAGAAACTCACCAAACTGAGAACAATAAAAATGATGATATAAAGCAACATCATAAAGCAAATTATTATTTTTAAAAATGAAACGTATATTTATATCAGGTTTTGTCTTCCCAAACTAACTTACAAGTATAGCTATAATACAAGTACATAATATGTACACAATATGTATAACTTATGTATATATAATAGAGGTATATAATATATACAAATATATATACCCTTACAAGTCAAGCAAAAGTGCTTTCCAAAAATCCTGAATCTGAGGTTCTTATAATTTAAAACTATTATTTTGGGAAACAATCTGAAGGTCTAGGATGCATGGTGACAAGTAGGATGTGATCCAAACTCCAAATGCCGCTACAAAAGAGAGCAGTGTGTATAATCTATAATCATTTTTTATTTAGTGTCTCTTCTTTTAAACGAGAGTCTACTCTTGTTCCCCACTGTCAACAAGAGGTTCTAAACAGCTTATGATTAATAAATGCAAGAGTTTCCCTTTTAAAATAACGCACAAGCATCAGAAGATGAAAAAATATATAATATTTTTCCCAGAGCTGTAAGTCAGCATCTTTCAAAAGGTTCATTGGGAACTCCTTGGAAAGCCCCCGAATGAAGTGGTCCCCTTATAAAATATCAGGAATATGAAGAAAGCCAGAGTAGTAAGCACAAGAAGTCACAGACGCCATCTACTTTAAAGCGTCAGGTTTGATTAAATCTGGAGATCACATTTTCATAAGTGAGAACTACCTTTTCCAAACTCCTCATTGGGCATCTTTCTCCTGGACACAGCTCACTTCTCGGGGAATAAGCAACAAATACCGCAGCCCATAGGGGGCAGCCAATGTCAGGTGAGAGAGGTAGGCATCAAACAGGACTAGGGGCTTGGAGGCAACTGGTGCCAGTCCAAGATCTGCCTCCACCTCCCTGCATGATTGGGACAAATCACTTCCTCTCTCTCTGGACCTCAGTTCCTCGCCTATACCTAAGGGCTTGGATTCTATTAGTAAGGTACTTTCCAGTTCTAATAAATGATGATTTCTGATCTTCCATGGTTCTTAAAAATTCAGCAGAGAAGCAGAGGTGTGCAAAACCGAGGTCTTGGGAAGGGGGGGAGGGTGTGTGTGGCGGAGAGGAATGTGGTGTGGAATTTCCATGGGACCCTTTAGAGACTATAAGGGGAGCCCGGCGAGCTGCCCACAGCCAGCTCCTGGGTCCATAAGCAGGTTTGGCACCCGGGCTGGCTTTTAAGCTTTGCATGCGATGTCTTTGCTCTAAGGTGTCCTGGTAGGCTAAGTAGCAGGGTTAATTTCTACTAAAGACTTGAAATAACTTTTCCTTTATCTGCTCTGACAAGCTCAGACCCAACAGTCAGAGGACTTTCAAAGTCTGATTTCAGGCTTGATGCACTTGACTCCCCACCTGCTAGACCTGGTGTGGTTACAAGAGTACAACTATGAATATTACATTCTGTCAAGGAAACAAACCGTGCAAAGAAACGAAAAAGAAAAGAGGTGCTGGGGGTTGGGAAGAGGGAGGGGAGTGGGAGGAAGTGCCTTGTGGCCGCTACTGTGATTCTAGAAAAGGGGTTCAGACTCATTTCGCTGACCTGGTTAATAATCCCTGCCGAGTTGACGCTCGCCCTGCAAGAAACGGCTTCGAGCCCGCAGCCGGGTTTCTCTTCCCCCTGAGGCAGGTTCAAGGCTCCCGCCCCTCCTGGCCGCCACCCTTCTCCGCTACCTGGGAGCTGCAGGGAACCTGCGCGGCCCCGCCCCACCCGGCCAGCCGAGGTCGCGGGGCGCGGAGCCTCCACCGCGCCTCCTCCCAGCACCCCTTCCCAGCTTCCTTCTCCTCCTCTTCCTAGTTTCTGCTCTCAAAAAGAAAAAAAAAGAAAAAAGGGGGAAAAAAATAGGTGCCTTGGCTGTTCTGCTGTTAAGTCCCAAAGGCGAAGGGTGAAACCACTTCAGGGGCAGCACCCCCGCCCCGCGTGGCCGGGCCTTAGGCGAGGCGCAGGGAGCCCAGCCCCCCCCCCCCAGGTGGCCTCCCATTTTCTCCGGCGCCCAGCCATGCCTAGGCGCTGCTTCCCGCCGGGCCAGACCCGACCCGAGGGTGCTGCGGCAGGGCCCACACCCACGCTGTTTGCAACTTCCCAGCGCTGCGCGGGGACCAGCGACAGCCGGTTCAAAAACAAATAAGTCCCAGAAAAGCAAACAATCCGAAGGAAAAGAGGTTGGATTTGCTTTGCCACCAGGGGCTAACACCAAGAACCTCCGAGCGAGGGTCGGTCCATCACCCCTCCTCTGCGCGGGAGACCTAAGGTGGCGGGAGCAGGGCGTGGGGAGGCGCGGCAACCTCAGCCACGTCCACGTGTGCGCGCCGCGCCCCGACCTCTCGCCCCAGGGAAGAGGCCGCGGGGATTGCGTCCTGGTTGCGCGGCAGCGGCCTTGGGTGCTGCCCGCCTCTGTCTTTTTCCGTTGAGTGGCAACCGCGACGGCCGCTAAGCTTGTCCCCGCACCCGGCGGGGAGCTCTGGCGCGTCCAGTCCTGGAAGTCCAGACCCCAGGGGAAGCGGCAGCGCCAGCGACTGACAGTTCGGACGAGTATTTCCCTCCTCCTCCTTCCCTCTTCCCCTCGGCGCGGCCACACTGTTAAGGGGACTTCACCCATCATCCCGGAGGGCCTCCCCAAATGCGGGGACATGTGCGGCGCGGACGCGTGGGAGTGCGTGTGAAGTGTTTGCAGAAGAAATAAAAGCTTCCCGGAGTACAATGATCAGAGCCTTCGAAACCTTGGCTTAAAACGATTTGCAAATGTAGCGACCCTTTTCCTCCCTAAATTCCTCTTTCCAGCCGCCTGTCAGCTGCCGCTTGGCTTCGCCTCCATAAAGAATGAATGAAATTTAAAGGAACTACCTGCAGCTACTAAACAATCCGGCATTTTCCCTATATCTGCCATATGCTCTGCACTCCCAAGTCCAAACATATCGCAGTGCATCAAGCAATTACTCTGCGACTCCCTCGCCGACGCCCGCGGCATCAAGCCAGGGACCCGGTGGGCTCCCCGGAGCGGGTGGGCACCGCTCTGCCCCCAGGCTGGAACGTGCTGCTTTTTGTGCCCCCTAGAGAGAACTGTTTCCCCGTGCAACTTGCAAAACGACCCTCAGGGCATGCTTCCTGACGTCCTGACATATTTCCCGAATAGGCTCTTCCATTCATCAGTTTCACAAGCGGCTTCTGCCCAGGCAGAGGTTCTAGGTCCTCGCAGGACCTGACAGCCCCGCACAAGATCCGGGAACTCATTCCCACCTGCTCTCCGGCCGCCTGGTGCCCCGCGCGCCCCCGCCCGCGGCTGCCCGTCCGGGCTCCCCGTTACCTGTGTCGGGGTCTCCGGGCCATGGCGCGGCGGGCGCGGGGCGCAGCTGGGAGCCGCGGGAACCGCACGGGGCTGCCGCCTCCCGCTGCCCGCCGCCTGCCTGCGTCCCTCCCCGGCTGCGCAGCGGCGTTCCGCACCGCCGGGGCGAAGTTTCTCAGGAGAGAGAGGAGGAGGAGGAGGAGGAGGAGGTCGCGGAGGAGGAGGAGAAGGAGGAGGAGGAAACAGGTTGATATTAAAATGTAAACTCTGTAAACAGAGATGCCATCAAACAAAGAGCTTTGGACACTCCCCCTCCCGCCAAATCTGGCGCCCCTGCAATGCGCACGCGCCCTGCCCGCCGCCTCCGCGGTCGCCTTGGCTGCCGCGCGCCCGGCTGCTGGGCCGGCCCGGCCGCCGCTTCCCTTCGGCTCTCGCGCCGCTGCGCTGCGCCTGGCGCGCCGCGCGGCCAAGGAGGCGCGCGGGCGGGGAGCCCGGGGCCGGGTCGGGGGGGCGGCCGGGGGCCGCTCAGGCGCCTTTTCTTGCGCAAACCCCGCTCCCGGTCCCCGGCCGCGCGGGCCAGAGCTGCGTCCCGCGGCTGCCGCCTCCCCTCCGCGGCGGCCGCGCCGCCGTCGCCCCACTCGGCGTGCTTCGGGCACTAGCGCCCGAGCTCGCCGGGCTCTGACTCACTGTGGCGGGGGCGGCCAGGCCCGGGGCGGAGGGAGAAACTCCAGCATTCGGGAGTGGATTTTAGGCAGGGTGTAAAACTCAGTTCTCTGGACATTGGGGAATGGGGGGGGGGAGGGGTAGTAGGGGACAGGAGCATGTATTTTCAGAGGACATTTGGCTGCGTGCGTGTGTGTGGTTTTTACAATAACATCTCTAATTTAACTTGTTAGTGACAAAGGACACTTAAATACGAGTGGGGCCGCAATCGCTCCTCCATATGGGGCATCCGGGAGGAGCTCTTACTTCTTTCCCAGATCCTGGAGCCCACACGCCACCTCCGTATTGTCACTAGCACTTCACTCTCACCCGGGCACACGCCCGGCCCCACCCACCCTGCCCGGCCCGGGCGGCGCCCACCGCACACCTCCGCCCCCACCCCCACCCCCACCCCCCACGCACCACCTGTACAGCGCGCGCCCTGGATTACACACCTGCTAAATCCACGGGGTTCCAAACCGCCCGCCCCTAACAGAACTCAGGAAACCCCACATGTGCTTGCGTGGTTTTAAAAGTCAAGCGGTTTGTGACATAGAGGTTGGTAGCCATGCTTGGCGTCGTTTGGGGACTCTGTTTTACGAGATAAAAATCACTGAGGACTTTTGTGTTCATTTACCTAGGGACTCCTGAAGAAATTAAAGGGAGAGGATGAGGGCCGAATTTATAAGGATTGATGATTGGGGGATTTTAGGGGAGTTTTAGTTTTACTTCCGTTTATAGACTTGTACCATTGGGGATTTTTTTTTCATTCTCTGTACACACTAATATATTTTTCCTTTAATCTTATAGAAGTTTGAGACTTCTGCTGACTGGGTTTGTGGGTGTCCCATGTGCCCCGGCAGTTTAAACTTAGCTCAGAAAGCATTTTTCTTACTAAAAAAGCAGTTTTTTACAGAAATGAGTCATAATTTTATTAAATGGTGAAGCATGATAGGTTTCAAGACTTTATCTGGTGTTTTAAACTTTGTTTCTTAAAAATTGTAATATAGTTTAAATCCTTATCAGAAAATGTTAGTTCCTAGCAAGGTTTTAACAATACTTTCTTCGTGAGAAAAAAAAATAACAGTGAAACAAAATTATTGTGAGAGATCTCAGCTCACAATTCTGACAAGTCACGTGCAATATATTTTTAAAGAGAATATTTATTTGCAGATTCTATAATAAAGTTTCTACACATCAAAAATAAAGATAAAAAACTAGAACAAACATGTGGAAATCACTCGGAAAGTAATTATATTCCGTCTTTGGGATTAATTTATGAATCTGACTGGTGTGATTCCCAAACGGTGAGCCTCTTTGGCACAATCAGAGTATCAGAACACTTCTCCAAATGAGTTCATAACCTGTTTCCTAAGATTCTTAGGAGGTACATCCGTTCTAGGATTCTTAAATTCCTTTTACAGAGAAAGGTATCAAATTCAATTTAATTCCTCTTGTTCACTTTGTGCATCATTTTTCTAATTTTAAAAATTTTTATTTATGTATTTATTTTTCTTTAACATTTATTTCTTTTTGAGAGACAGAGAGACAGAGCATGAGCTGGGGAGGGGCAGAGAGAGAAGGAGACACAGAATCTGAAGCAGGCTCCAGGCTCTGAGGTGTCAGCACAGAGATTGATGTGGGGCTTGAACTCATGAACAGTGAGAGAGATCATGACCTCAGCCAAAGTCGGACGCTTAACCAACTGAGCCACCCAGGTACCCCTGTGCATCATTTTTCTATGTGTTTGGAGAGTATATTATAGTATAGTATATATTATTTTTATCCCCCAGACATTTTGGGATGTACATTTTTTTCCCTCATAGGTGTACCGTAAGACAAGCATAGTCCAATAAAGAGTATACCTGCAATGATTCTTACTAGGCTAGTTTGGGATATATTGCCAACTGGTGAGTATATGGAAGGCTAGAATCCAATGGAGTTATCATAAATTCTCGTATAAATGAAAATGTATTATCTGAGCTTTAAGGAATGTTCACTACATCTATACATTTCCTCCCTCCACTTATAGTGATTACAAATGCATTTTTTTAGATGAGAACTTTATATATTTCATCACTCTATTTTTTTTTTTTTTTAAAGATCTGCCACATCAGTTATTTTAGCTGTGGCTGGGCTGGGATAAGGCTAACATCAGATACAGCCTTTTATTTGCATTGCATTAGACAGAGGTCAGCAAACTTCTGCAAAAGGCCAGAAAGTAAATGTTTGAGACTTTGTGGGCTATATTGTGTGTTCTTCTTTTCTTTCCTCCTCCTCCACCTTTTACAATTTTTTGAAAATGTAAAATCATGTTTAGCTTGAAGACCATATCCAGCCTGCAGGCCATACTTGGCCAATACTAGAACAGTGATCTTTACTCTTTCGTGTGTATCAGAAACACTCAATGTTCCCATGAAAAGTATTCCATCCTTGGCAGTGTCCCTAGAGACTAGGATTCAGTAGGTCTGAGGAAAGGCCTAGGAATCTGCACTTCAAACAAATACTCAAGTGGTTTTCATAGAAGTGATTTCTCTCTTTTTTAAAAAAAAATTCTTAAATTTTCTTTATTTTTGAGAGAAAGAGAGGGAGAGACAGAGACAGAGAGAGAGAACAAGCGGAGGAGGGGCAGAGAGAGATGGGGACAGAGGGCCTGAAGCAGGCTCCGCGATGACAGCTGATTCAGGCCCGAACTCACGAACCTGTGAGATCATGACCTGAGCTGAAGTCTGACACTTAGTGGGTTGAGCCACCCAGGTGCTCCTAGAGGTGGTTTCTAGACTGCTCATTTGACAATCTTGGATCAAAATCGAGAGAGAGAACAGGAGGGTTGAATACACCTTTGCCTTTGCCAGCTGTTTCTCACCACCTTCTCCCACCTCATTCTCTTTCACCTCTCCTGGGCTAAGGATTCAGTCCTTCTCTAATCCAGAATAATTTAAGTCCATGAGAAAGTTGGTGCCAGTGACCACAGGGCTGTGGCAGCCTATTCTTTCCTTCTTTACTGCTAAACTTCAGTTTCAGATCTAAAACTTGAAAGAAAAGAATCATTTATCACTTGCTGACTGTCATTAGGATTCTCCTCCTCGAGACAGCAAGCATTTAAAACATTTTGTTTTACACTAAACATCAGGGAATGGCTGAAGGAAGAAAGATGTTTAATAGGTACAAATTTCAGCTTTTATTATTTTTTTTTTTTTTGCTTCTGACTGCTGAGAAATCCCGAGCCTGTGGTGGTGGATCTTTAGCAGCTGTGGTCAGTTGTCCCAAAAAGGAATGAGGCTTATCCATGGTGGTGATAGACCAGGCTTTTGGGGCGCCATGTCTTTACCTCCCACCTTTCCCCACGATCTCAGCCTGTTTTCGTGTGGAGCACTAAGAGGGAAATAATTACAGTAAATGGTTAAAGGACAGACAATTCTTGATCATTTCAGTCACTGAATGACAGCTGCAGAATGTGTAATTGAAACCCGTAGGTTTGAGAAAAAACCTCATGCCTGCTCACAGTAAACTTTTTCATAATAACGGGGAGCCTGGGTGGCTCAGTCGGTTAAGTGTCGACTTCAGCTCAGGTCATGATCTCAGTTCATGGGATCAAGCCCCGTGTCGGGCTCTGTGCTGACAGCTAGCTCAGAGCCTGGAGCCTTTTTCAGATTCTGTATCTCCCTCTCTCTGCCCCTTCCCTGCTCATGCTGTCTCTCTCTGTCAGAAATAAATTAAAAAATTAAAAAAAAAAACTTTTTCATATTAACAACGGGGGGTGCTACTTTAGTGCAATTTGTTTCATAGGCCATCTATATTACATAGTGACCAAATGCATTTTTATCTTTAAATTATTTCTGGGTTTGGCACTACTGGGCATTTCCACCCTCCAGATTCTCATAAACTTATTTATTCCTCTGACAAAAAAACCTGCGTATTTTCATTGCCATCTGAACTGAGTACTTGAACAAAAGAGACAAGCTTTTTGATGATGCAGGAAGGGCATTCCAGAGGAAGAGAAAACGGTGAGCAAAAGCACACAATCAGGAATCACAAGGCATCTTCCAGATACAGGGAACACGGAGATGTCCATATCGCCTGGGGCACGGAGAGATTTGAAGGCCGAATTTGAATGGAAGGGCTACATTTTCCTCCATGCCCATCCCTCCTCCCCCCCACATCCATCAGTCCTCAGTTTTTGTCAGCATTCAAGAGTCTCTCATGGTTTGCCTCTCTCCCTTTCCCCCCACTATTTCCCCCCTTCTTCTCCCGGAAGGGCTACATTTTCAAAGCTGTGCCTTTGGAAGATTAATCTAGTACTATGATCAGATAGACTGTAGTCAGAAGAAGATGAAGGGGAAGAGTTCAGTTAATTGATCTCCAAGAGGACAGTAACCCTAACTGGAAAGAAAAGAAGGTGGCAGATCAGAAGATCATTGCACAGGCAGAACCTTCAAAACTTA